AGATTAAGGCCGCTTAGCGACTACGAAGACTTTTTTAGGCGGACATTGTATACAATGTGGTCTCTCTTCCTTAACCTTTCCTTTGTTCTTCACTCTTTTGCGAATTTGCTGAATTTTCCCTTTGTTTTATATTCACAGTGAATGAAAGAATATCAGAATTTCGGTCAACCCAGGTGATTCCGATACAGTACAACTCTGCTGAGATTTGTGGACAAATGTGTTTTCGATGCAAAGGGGCTCTTCAGGTATGTAGACTGATTGTAAAAGAATCACCTTTTTAACTTTCTAGGATGAATAGGGGTGCGTGTAGCGAGGTGGTTCCAGGTGCCCTGCAATACACAGATTGATCCCATGCCGCAAGACCACCGAGCCTCCCATAACTCCATGGTCTGTAAAGTGGTAAGAGACCTGGAGAGGATAGCAGCATTGATTCATACATCGGTAGGGTAGGCTACCTCAAGTCATTGTATATGCAAGATTTACATTCAGTCATCACATTCTAGTGGTGGTTAGTGAAGCCGAATGCTTGGCGCATCCCTCATGGATTGATTAACGTAGAGAGCTTTATTCTTTATTTTATATCTTATAATTTTTTTAAAAAATAAGTTCGGATTTATTTACTTGTTCATGCTTATACAAAAAGCCTAAGAAAGAACGTTGGGTTATGAGGAATCAATTCAAATTTTTGGTGACGACCGTAAGTGGAGCAGCACGAACAACTAATTTTGTGTTTCCGTATCCTTGCAGTTGGAACGATGCCGTGATGAAAGCGAGTTTTCAACAACTTCTATGCTTCTACTCAATATCTCTTTTGGTTTAGCCCTGTTACAATACCCGACATTTCAGAGATTGAAGGAATAAAAGGATGAAGCTCTCGACGTTGATCATTCCGTGAGAGATGAGCCATGCATTCGACTTCATTACAAGTCGTTTGGAGGTGATTGAATGCACATCTACCCTTTACAATGACTCACGATGGTCTACCGATGTATCGAGCCAGTGTTGCTATCCTTCAAGACAAGTCTGGTAATAAATTGCTAATAGCGAAAGGGTGGAAGCCTTGGCGACCTTGGGGCGCTGGGATAAACTAAACCTCTTTATCTTATTTGTTCTTTAAATTTATATAGCCTGTGATTCCTTCTACTGTAGTGGTCCCAGCACTTCTTGAATTCCATTCTTGTTCCATCGAATCGCTCCACTCTGGCCTTCGAGCATTTCGCGTGTTGTTTCGGCTGCTGCTTGTAGATTTCGACTTCTTCGTAAATGTCATAGAATCCTGGTCGAATTTATTCTCTTTGCAACTTTGAAAATAGCTGGGCTAGGACGTTACCACTTGGGCTGGAGCAGAGAGTTGGAGAGGTCTAGCGCCTTCTTTCCTGGTTGACGACATCGCCAACAACTACTCTTGCGGATTTCTTAATACAACAGATTTGAAGCAGTATGATTAAGGAGGATACATACTAAACCGTACCATCGGTATCTAAAGAGTATCTCAGTCGGCAAGCATTCTTACGTATATGTCTATACCTCGGCTAACAGAGGTGAGCAAGATGGCGATGGTTTCCACACTCTTGCATGCTTTCTGATAGTCAAGGAATATTTAGACGAGTGGCAGACGGTATTCCCTGCGGTCCTTTACGGCTCTTGATAATATTTCGATATGGTCCGTGCAGATAAATTGTTCTGAAACTAAAAGAAGGAGTGGCTTCGGAAACTATATCTTTGCCTGTGTACCTTCGATCCACAGATTTCAGAGGGGAAATATTCAAAGATAAACACTTCTCATATGTAAGCCCGTTGTTTGAAAATCACTGACAGACGGCGGATAACTGGTCAGAGTTAAGTGTAATCTATATTAGCAACCACTTAGAGAATGAGAGCCAAAAAACAAGCGAGCTTCTGGACAAGACATACCTAAACGCGAGGGTGGGAGGAGGGAGGTCTAAACCACTCCGCTCTTCCTTGGCATCATGTCGACTGGCCTTGATGAGAGAAATCTTGGACGAGATCAAAACTGGTAGCGGCAATTGGCTGTAACATGTAATGAATATCACCGCAGCCCTCATAGTATTTAGCGGTAGCCAGTTAGCAGTGATCCCATATAATCACGCACTCATTTAGTGATAACTAGTTTGTGCAGAACTGAACCTGCTTATGGCGTGAGTATTGGTAGAAGTTCTTCAGATGTTCGGATCTGCTCCTCTCATCATCAGACCTTCTGTGACTCGTTAGCATGTCAATTTTGGAAGGGCTACGGGGACGATATGGCCAAGTAGAAGAGACCGTCGAGAAAGTCGGAAAAAAATCGTGCAGAAGCTGTGCCATCTCGATACTTTTGGTTGACAAGATAAACATTTTCATGTACATCTACTGCTCACTAATTTTCAACCGAAGGAATGTCCTGGTTAAGCTCTGATGCTTCGAAGGATCACTTAGCTTTAGTAAGTGCAAATATAAAGGCGTAAAAGCGTGAAGATTCGATGGTTCCCTGAGAGTACACCTTGCATTCAACTCCATTCGTAGCGTCGTAAAAATGATTGAATATAGAACAGGTCTATACAATGAATTGTGGTGACCTATTGATGTCTAAAACTAATGACCATATCCGTTCGGATAAGTGTGGCACGTACTTTCCCAGGCCGGAGTAAGAGAGGTCTGGTTTGAGCATAGTGCGTGGTGGAACTAAGAACCGTACGTATTGCAGGGCACCTCTAGCCACTTCGCTAAACTTGCCCGCTAGAATTAGCATAGGCCGTAGAGGCCGAAACCAGGAGCCCAGTAGAAGGTAACACGATCTGCGGGTCTCTCTATTATTAACTATCGACTATCGATCACGTTCCCAAACGAATTCCAATCGATTTCTTTACCACCATTTCCACCCATTCCCCAATGACCCTGTCAGATGAGCCTCGTTGGCCGTATCGATCGGCTTCGCAAGCCTCTACTTTTTCGTCACTTTTTAAAAGTTTTATTTTGTGTTATGAGCTGCATTCTAGTGAATTCATGGTCCATACCGATAGTGTCAAGTTTTATCTCACCTCACGTCCACCTGAGTAGTCCGATCATTTCGACCCACCGTGCGGAACGTTTTCTATTGTTTAAGTCAAATATATACTATTTTGTACTGTTATTACTTGGAGTAGATCTTATGACGATCAGTGCAGATTTCACTGTTCTTGAGATAAATTTGGCGATGACTGGATGATTTCCTGTCGATTTCTTTTTGTGGCACATGGACCCATGTAGTACAGTGGTCGGAGACGCCCTGCAATACACCTCGCCCCACGTCCACCAAGCACTCCATCTCTCCGGGGTCGGCAAATTAGTGATTGTCTGCGAAATTGGGAGCACTGGCTCGATACATTGGTAGGCCACCGAGAGTCGTTGTAAAAGCCAGAATGCATTCAGTCGCCTCCAGCGATGATTAATGAAGTCGAATTCATGGCGCATCCCTCAGGGATTGATTAAAGTCGAGCGCTTTATCCTTTTGTGCTTTAACCGTGCGGAAGATTTTTTTTGTAGTCGAATAACGAATGTATGCTTTAGTACACTTCCGTTATCACTTAGAGTAGATCGTATCACGATCAGTGCAAATTCCACTGGTCTTAGGACAAATTAGGAGTTGACTGTATGGTTTCCTATCGTTTTCTTTTTGTCTATCATTTTCCGGATACAGTGCTCAAGCTCATAACCCGCTTCTGTTTTCCGTCGTAGCAGCACTGTCTTTCCAGTATCTTTGAGTGATCGTTGTATTTTTTATTCATCCATTTATAGAGCTTTCGTTAGCTACTTCCAATTTTGTGGTTATTTTGAATAGCAAGAAAACAGCGTTTTCCAGACTCGTCGTCTATTCCGGATCCAGAATTCAAATTCCTTAAACTGTGTTCTTAGGTCCCTTAGGTAGCTAACACTTTTGCTCCGCGTCTTCCGTTGTTGTTGTTGTTGTTGTTGTTGCTATCGATCTTTTATGTTGTTTACCACATGCTTTGCTCACAGATGAACGTACTACTTTCCTTTTACAGTTGTGTTACTTAATACAGGTTCAGCAGAGTTCTGACTCTCTGATTTATGAATCGATGGATGGCAATGGAGTAGATAACGTCGTCACAATTCGTGGCGATGATGCCGTTCAGGTAAACGCACGTGTCCACATCCCATGCTTTTTGTCTTACAGCCTTTCCACTTGTTTTTCGGCTTAGTTAAGGTTCCTCGAAGGTTTAATACTCCAGTAATTGTAAACGGTTGCCCATTCTTATGAAATAACTTTTATACATGACTACTGAGTCGAACACTAATAGAACATCAATGATGCTGAGATATTTGCAAAACTCCGGACTGCAGGTGTATGCGGTGGGGAACGAACGCGCTATTGTCCTTACCGGGGAGGGGAGTAGCGCACTTCACCACCATACCATCCGGGTCCTTCCCTTTGCCTGTCTCTCTGCTAGTTCTATCGGTCTTTTGCCATCAGCAATCACCCGTCAACGGGACACCTGCGATCCGGAGTTTTGCAAATATTTCAGCATCATTGAAATTATATTTCACAATGTATACCCTACCGTTAAAAAGAGTGGGCAGTAAATAATACGTCAAACTGATAGAACAGTTGACAAAGTCCACAAGAAATAAACTGAGTAAGGACTGTTACATTGACGTAATCGTCAGTGACCATCGCTAGTTGCTGAATTGAGCCTTATTTGACCTCGTTTCTGTAAGAGATCATGTCATTAGTGCTTCACTTAGGAAATATTGATTAAAAATACATTCAAATTTACACCCACATGAGCTTTAGGTCGAGTTCCAGCGTAGCCTGAGGTCCCAGCATGACCTGGAATGGCGAAAGAAGTTGGGTTATGGTATGTGGAGAAAAAATGAGAGAAAAAATCGTGTGCTCGTCAGATTTTGCTCTTTGATTTGTCGTATTGATTCTGTTGATTTCCAAAGACTTCACACCTGACCGTTAAGGGATTGGTCATTTCTACAACGATCTCTGTGCAAGCATGTGGTTCACATATTTGATGATCTATCTGGAAAAAGTTCTCAGATTCCGCAGCTCGCAGGCTGGATTGTTGATGCTCATCGGACAGGTGCGACTCCTACCATTTCTAATCTAGCAACGTTAATTTTTTAGTAGTACTTTACAATTCATCTCAATCTATCAGGTTACTGATGCCATCTCGACACCGCTTGTGGGAATCGCCAGTGACTCCAATTTCTTACCCAAGTTTTTTCATAGGGTTGGCAGACGCTTATCATGGCATATGATCGGTGAGATTTACTCTTCATATCATTCTTTTCCTTCATTTTTCAGTGACCATTGTATTGACGGTGTTCTGCCGTCGTTGTTCCGTAAACCGATGCCAAAGTTGAGCTGTTGGTAAGGTTTTGTGATGCTCTTCAGGCACAGTATGCGTTTCACTTTCGTTTCCTTTCATCTTCAATCGCTGCTTTGTGTGCTCGGATTCTGGGTCTGTTTGGTACAAAGTGGTTTGGTTCACGCCGTTCATCATGCTTTTTCAGTTCGGCTGGGCTTCTGTACAGGTTAGTGGTTTTTTTTCGACATCCTGTCTTTTCTTCACAAATTGCTCGTGTTCAGATCTCCCACCTAGCTTTGTTACCTGAGCTATCGTCATTCGACAGCACTAGAACTACTATGAATTCGTTGAGGTTCGTAGTTTCGACGTTTGTTGTTTGGAAATTGTACATTCACCAGCTTCTTTAAAGGTACGCTTTCACTGTGATTGCTAATCTATCAATATTCTCTGTTCTTGCTTGGTTTCTCTCTCAAAGTGCTGGTCACACTGAGATAGGTCCATACGATTTCACTCACTTTCGGGTCGGTTTCCGCTCTCAGACGTCAAATTCTATTCTCAACAGTAAATGCACTTTTTAGACTGCTGGGTTCATTGTGGTTGGCAGTGGCTTAATGGTAACATTGCTATTTTACTTCGCGATTCGTGAGCCAACGAATGAGCGGAGATTAAGGTGTGTTTTGCCATTCTCCATTGCCCATCTGTTTTTCCTCATTTCTTCCTCGTTCAGTCACGCGAACTCGTTTACATCTGACACGAGTGAATTGGTGAGAATGCACTGGACGAGTTGGTTCGGCTATTTACAGTTTTATCAGGTAAATTTCATTTCTTTTAATTTTAGTGCATTCCATTCGCGAAGGCACCTAATTTCTTCGCTGTCCATGTCTTTTTCTATAGTTGAAGTATTTAAGCAGTTAGAGTTTGACAGGCTAGTGGATGCAAATTGACTCTACCACTTTCGATGTTTTAAAATTTGAACACAAGTATGAATGATGCATGGGGGACACCATCTTGTCTAGTCGGTGCGAATTCCATCTGTTTAATCGCTTTGATGTTCTCTAACAGAAAAAAAGAAGAAGTACTTCTTTTGGGCTATAGAAATTCGTAGTCCCGTTGTTGTAGGCTGGCAAAAAATTCCTCTTTTTTATGAAGGTTTTTTAGATTCTGGAAATTTTTTTCTCATTTAGTGAAGTCTTCTATAAACAGAGGTATTTTTACCCATGAATTTGATAAGGAGGTATTTACTGTTTTGCATTTAGATTGCTCTCCTGTACATGTTATCTCGTCTCTATGTCAATGTTTCACAAGTCTATTTCCCGTTCTACATTACCCTGACTCAGAATTATGGGAAGGTATGTGATCTTTCTTATTCTTGTCTCTTAAAAAGTTTTCCCAGTATTATATAACTTTCACGTATGAAATAAATTGATGGCGTTTTGTGGTTGACTTTAGTTGAACAAGTTGTGGTTGACTTTAGTTGAACAAGTCGTAGTTGTTGCTACCAAAGTTCACTTTTATTGTTTATCATAAAATTAGTCAAAATGTTAACCGAACGGCACCAATAATGCCTCTATTCGTCTGTCTCGCAGGTTAGTATTGTCCAAAGGGTTCTCCTCGTTCTAGACACATGGAGATCGTTAGGTTTCATTTCGGAGTGCTTCTCAATCAACCTGATCATTATATCGATGGACGTCCTGTTTTATACTAAAAATGTCATTGAACTGTGCTTGTTGAATACCATTTTGTAGGGGTAATTTCTCAACGGCACGACCTTTCTGGAGAACTCAATTCCCTACATCTGGGCACATGCGGTATCATCCTGGTTTTCCGTCGTCGAAACTTTTGATTCTTTCTTCCTAAGGCACGAAGATCCATGCTGTTAAAGAAAGAAGGCTCATAACTCAGTACTTTTGCCTTTATAACTGCTTCCTCGATATCACTTTACGCTCTTCATTTTGCTGTTAATCACTGTATGTTATCGGTTCACCGTGTTTGCTGTCTGATTATAATACACACGGACGGAACATTGGGAGATATTCGTTTCCCGTCAACGTATTTAAAGCATCGAGAACGAATCATCTGCTCGTGGACGCAGTTTTGTTCAGATTCAACCACTGAGCGATTTTTCCCCTGGGTCTTCGATACTGGACAGTGTTGGTGGTTACACTTTACAAGTGCGTATTCTTTAAAAACGATTTCATTATGGAAACGAGGACTGTGTAAGACTAGTTTAGCTGCCTTCCATCAGCTACCACGTTTTGTTAGGACCCTATTATCCATTCGATTCCATAGAAATGATGAGCAAGAGGCGAATTCGTCTTTGATTAACAGTGTTGCTTAAAACTTCTCGTAGATTCCTTTCCTGATGATATCTGTTATCTAATTTGCTTGTATTCTCAGAGGCAGGGTAAGAAAAATAAGCGAATGTATTAGTGGGAGCTGGTGATTGTTACTTTTGATCTGTCTCCAAATCAACGTATTAATTTTAAGAACTTATGAGAACTTATTGTGTTGGCAGTTTCGTCACTTCGTTTCTTAACACTATTGAAGGTGTTATATGTTGAGTGAGTTCGACTTGTCATTTCGTGCACTTAAATTCGTTTCAATATTTTTTGGGGATGAAGAGTCTCACACGAGGGTAGCGATGCTTCGAATTCATACAAAACTTTGTGAAAATAGTGGCTTTAGTCAAAATATTTGCTTGAAAACGATGAAGTGAATTTTGTCGCCTTTCTGTTGTCGGACGATTCGAATGTTCAGCGTGAAAGGTTGGGCTTGTGGAATTGTAAGCAACTTATTTTGGATCATCTTGATTATCCCGTTGAATTCAGCCATGTTCTTGCCCTATTCACTCATTTCCTCTCTACATCTTTCCACGAGTTCTTCAGACGTCCTCCTGTGTCGATGTGATCACTGTGGAGAACTTCGTCGGGCTCATTTAACACACACTAGACTCATTTCGACGTATTTTGACGTTGTGGTGTATACAGCAAAAACTGACCCTCGTTCATTCATAAATGTCTTTTTTAGGTTTTGTGAAATAATGGAGTTTTTTAAATTCTACTCATTCAAAATAATAGTTTCAATTTGGTTGCTTCAGAAATACGTTGCTATTTTGCCAATGGTGTCTTATCTTTCATCCTTCTTGATTTCAACACTTAATGGGATTCCCTACTTGAATAGTATCGTCAACAGAAAAGTAAGTTGAAATGTTTCTCGTTGTATGAGATCCTACACTTCCAAGGAGCTTATAAGTAACGCTGCATAGTCATTATTTTACATCAGTAGCATATTGGATACTTGTACACTAGGACGGTCCGTCCTCACTTGTTTCGCAGATCCCAGCATATTCTCCACTTTTTCGGAGTTTCACTGGCCAAGCTAATATGGTTCCTTGTAGTCCCGAGGTCGGCCTGCCCAAAGTCTGCGTCGTCGCCACCACAGGCAGTGGCCGCCCTATTGGATATGAGGAAGATTTGCGACCATACTACTCTTTTGATACCGGGGCGGACGGTGGTGGATCCTGATATTGGCTTACTTTTACCTGGGTTTCCTGGTGGAAATGCCGAACTCGTTCTTGGTTTGGTAGACAATGCTGGGGAGATGAGTTCCCCCGTTGTACATTGCAGTCTTACAGCTATAGACACCTCCCAGCCACAATGAGGCGGTAAACTGTTTGGAGGAATCGCCTAACTATACGCAGTTTTTGCCGTAGGTATGGTACGTGTTGGAGCCTTTTGAATAGCAGCTTGTCTTTTTTTTCAAGTCAATCCTTAGTGATTGATGAGATGAAGCATATGATTGCTTCGTAATTTACATTTTCTGGTGTTTTAAGTGAATTCGTTTGCAGCTAATATTTGTTTTTGGAATAATTTGTGGCATGGGAACTTGCCTTTGGATGCTTTTTGAATTACATCTCTGGGGTATGTACTGTGTTGCAGGGGCTATAGGTGTGTAACTAATATTCTTGCGTCATTTTTTTTCTTTTTTTCCCAGCTTTGAAGTCGAAGTTGCACTGTCTTTGCAAAAGTGTAAATGCCCACCGAAAACTATCGAGGTTTGCTAAATTATGCTGTTTCAGGTGTTACACAGGCCATTCTTCTCATCACTTCGCTGTCCATTACTGCTGACCTGATCAATAGAAACACAGTGAGAGTTCTCTCTATTTATTTTTATGCATTCTATTGCTCACTTTTGAAAATAATTCCAAAAATGTTGAAATAAAATGCAGAGGCGTAAGGCTGTTTATTTTTACTGTTTTTGCCAAAATGCTGATTGTGGTTGTCTCACCTTTATCTTATTTTGTGTTTTATTGAATACAGTTACGAGGTCAGAGCCTTCTTCAGACTCTGGAATGGTGATGTTAATGTGCGACCTAATCAGCCAATTACTTCTATTACCGCACAAATAAACTCAAAATCTACGTTTTAATCCGATTAGAAATGACTTTCTTTGACACTATTCGTATTCTTTGAGTCTCCCATTACTTGATGGAGAGCAACACCGTAGAGTTTAAATGGGTCGTGACTCGCTCAAGTTAAAATATCTGCCTGAAATGTTCTTTAAGCGCATGATAACAAGCCATTCCGTCCTGCTGCTCTTCTTCGAATTTTTCGGTAAAATCCGAAAGGATAAAGTTTGGAGTTTGATTAATCCCTTAGCTATGCACCGCGCATTCGACTCCATTAAGTATCGCTAAGAGATGAATGAATGGATATCTGGGCTATAGAATGACTCGCGATGGCCTAGCGGTGTTTCGAGCCTGTGCTGCTATCCTCCCAACAAAGTCTGGTAGGAATTTTCCAACCGCGGAAGGATTGAGATCCTGGTGAGCGTAGAGTGCGGGGATCGATCTCATGTGTGTTGCAGGGCGCTTCCGACCACTGCGTTAAACGCTTTTCTGGAATTTGTCCATAACTCTCCGGGTGTACGCTCTGAAGTTTCAGATTCCTCTGCCAAAATAGTGATTTCTACTGCAGACTTTCCTCTTATATATTTGTCTCCATTGTGTGTGTAGTAGACTACTTTTTTTTGGACGGCTAAAAATTGCTCTGCTTAGCTATTTCTTCAACGTATTCATCGCCAAAGGGTATACAGGAGAGTAGGTACGCCGTACTTGACCGGATACAGTCGTTGTCTCTACGGTTAGGGCAAATTGAGTAGCTGTGAGTTTTGCATAGGTGGTCGCACGAATGGTCACCAACTAAATGGCGTTTCAGAGCGTTCGGTGGTAATTCAACCATTACTATCGTCTTCTCTATAACGGCCCTTCTTAGTTGTTGTGTTATAATTTTGCTTATTTTGTTGCAAATGACGAAAACGGTATTTTATTTTCGCCAGATATCGTCTCGGCTTTGTTTTTCCTCTACGGTTTAATGCGGGCAGTTGTTGTTTTGTAGCCATTGGAAATGGCTGTTTGGTGTTCCAGGTTGAGTGCTTCCTTTTTTTTAGCGATCTTCTTTTGTACGCATCGGTGGGTGCTCGAGATATGTTTCTCACAAGGGCTGTGTTGGTATTGAAGGATAACAACCCAGAGGTAGATTGAATTGTGGAACTCTTTTGTTTGGGTGACTCCTTTCCGCAAGTCGAAATTAGGTTCTCGGGAACACTTCTCTATTTAGTTAAAAAAATGATTTTGTAGGATGGAGCAGTCATAAGAATACGAAATTGGTGGGTAATTCTGTTTCGTTTTTTTTTTTTAAAAAAATACCATCATGTAGTTAATTATCGTTATGCTGTTGTTCATTGCGAATGTCGGTTAGCACTCGTTCCGCTTGGCTAATAGTTCGTGCTATAATAACGATGTGATCAGCAAAGCGAGGATAGAGTATTGCCAACCATTGATTTCCACTCCCATGTACCATTACAATGTTCGCATGACGTTCTCGAGGGTGGCGGCGAATAATTTTGGTGAAATGGTATCGCCTTCTCTAAACCCTCTGTTGTCTTCAACATTAAGACCGTTAAATAAAATGATGATGTTTTGATTGCGATATTTTTATATTGTTCACAAAGAAGGTGTGATGAGTAGACACCATAGCTCGCCAGAACTTCCATAACTGTTTTGTCTGAACTTAGTCAAGAGCATCCTTCGTGTAGGTGAAGGTGAGGCAGAGTGGTCTCTTATACTCATAATTCGAGAGGTCTTATCGCACATATTTGGTTTATCGTACTAAATCCCTTTCGGAACCCTACTGCGTCACATAGCTCTCCTTCGTCCAGCGTTCTGTCGATCCCGTTTAGCAGGACTGTAGTGAAGAGTTTATGGACGGTAGGTAGCACGCAGATTGGACAATACTTGCCGATATCGTAGAGGTCGCTGTTCTTGAAGAATAACATAGTCTTGCTGGTCTTCGATTGAATAGAAGCATTATATTGATACAGGTAACGTGGGAGGAACCGGGCTAGTGTGTTGATGGCTGGCGAAAGGTTCTTTAGGTGTTCAGGTCTTATTTTGCCTGGACCAGGTGTTCTTCGATTCACCGTCGACAAAGTACCCTGTGGAGTTCATAACGGAGAGAAGGTAGGACGATATATCCATCCTTTTTTATTTCATATGGGGAAAGCAAGGTATGGTTATAAGATTCGAGTAATAATCAAGTTTCTCCATTGCCTTTGTGGAAGCAAAACTTCAGCCTGGATAATGGTGTTCGATCGTTTGCTCTTCTAATTGGCAAAGTTTCGATGAGCACTGCAAGTGCTTTTTCCAGCCTCTGCGGTCTCGGCAACAACTATCGCTCTTTTCTTCCTAAGGTCTTTTATCGGCTTTCTGAACAACTTTTCATGTTTTGACGTCAGTGAGCACTTGCCTGTAGCTCGTGCGATTCAATGCTGCCGTATCAGATGGAGTATTTCTGGAGACAGACGTTCGTTGTTGACCTTCGAACTCCTAGTTTTTACAGCGCTAACGTGAGGGTGTTGAATAGGATAATCATATTGCTCATCGATGTTATCAAGAAAACGGCACCTTCTCCAGAGTCGACATCAGATCTTAATAAATCCCAATCTTTGGTGGATTTAGGTTTTTTCGAACTTAGCAGTTTCACCACTTTTCTGCAAGAAATGGGTTTTTGCGCAGAGGAAGCGTTGGTCTGATTCCGCGTAGCACTTGCAGAAAAGAGCGACATGAGTTAGGCAAAACCTTTAATTTACTGTGATGGGGTCTGATATTTCGTTATGGTACTCTACATTGGTAAACTCTCACGTCCAACCTTGGAATTCAGGCTTCTGGAATTGCGAATTACCATGAATTGTTTTTGTCGTAATGATAAGCCCAGACATCCGTCCACGTTGCTCTCTCCATTTTGCTCCTTAGTTCGCAATGTTACGTTCTTCAGACGTTTCTTTTGGGTCCACTTTCATGTTAAAATCTGCTATAGTGACCTTAAAAACTGTTTGGTCTTCTCTGCAAAACTTGTCCGAATTCATACTGAACACTCGTATATAATGCTGAGATATTTGCAAAACTCCGAACCGCAGGTGTATGCGGTGGGGAACGAACGCGCTATTGTCCTTACCGGGGAGTAGCGCACTTCACCACCACACCATTCGGGTCCCTCGTTTTGCCTGTTTCTCAGCTAGTTCTATTGATCTTTTGCCATTAGCAATTTTTTCCATTCTATTTCTGTTGATCTTTTGCCATTTGCCATCAGCATTAACTGGGTTCGTTGCCGATTTAGGCCCCCCAGATCAATCGTGTTGACGGGCGATTGCTGATGGCAAAAGATCGATAGAACTAACTGAGAGACAGGTAAAGCGAAGGATCCGGATGGTGTGGTGCTGAAGTGCGCTACTCCCCGGGTAAGGACGAAAGCGCGTTCGTTCTGCACCGCATACACTTGCGGTCCGGAGTTTTGTAAATATCTCAGTATTATATAAGAGTTATATTTCGCAACATACCCTGCCATTAAAAAGAAAAAGGTAGTAAATAAAAGGGTTAAGATTGTGATCATACTGAACACTTCGACCTTCTTTCCCTTCGGCATAGCTAACCCGATGTCCGTGCATAGATGACGAAAATTGTCAAAGTCGGTAATGATACAGATCTTTTCAAGCATACAATGTAGCTGCTAGTTGTTCTAAAGAATCAATGCTTCGAGACCAATTTCGTGTTAACGAGAACGCCCACGCTGCTGGCTGCTCTTCTGTCACATATTCCGAGAGACAGTTCTCCGGTGTCATCGACGGCGTTGAAAGGCTGGCGTCTTCTCGTCTCGGGTAGGCCGATGACTCCGTACCTTATCCTTCTTGCCTGTACGAGCAAGTCTTTTATCGAAGACTCGGATGCAGTTATGGGTCCATTGTAGGTACGGATCGTCATCTTACTCCTTTGCGATTTAGATAGCATACAATGACCTTGAGATTTTTGAAGTGCCTTAGTACTCGTCCTACCCAACGCTTCCATATCGAGGGCTCTTTTGTGGACAGGGGAACGAGGCCGGATTATTTTAACGTGTTTGGCTTTCGTTGCTCACATATACCTTGCTGAGCTGTGAGCATGGAGACTAGGTATTCTCACGAGTAGCTTGCCACCCTCTCCCAGAATATTCGAGGAACTTTTTTGTTGGAGGCGACTACTAACCTCCGATGTACTTCTCAATCAATTTATTGCAGGCTTTTGCCCGAAACAACTTGTAGAATATACCTTACATAAACCAAAACACGTCCGTGCTCGCATGTGTGCGTAAACAAAACAGGTATGTGCCAAATCAGCACTGCATAAACGGGAAACCTATTCATCTCATGGATCCATCTTGGCCTCAAGGAAGCATTGGTCACCTCTAGCACGCTATTAACCCCTCTATCCTCCACCTGGGGACGTGCCACTTTGCCTCTCGTCTAAACGACGGGCGATCGCACTGTGCAGGAGATTTTTCGAGGGGAAACGCGTAAAGAGTGAAAACTTCTAGAAGTTGGGAGCTGATTCGATCATGGATATTTTTATTTTGTGAGTTCTTTGGCGCCTAAAATTTCTGCAAAAGGCGAGAAGCCTTCACAACAGGTTGTCATGAGACTCACTGTTTTCCAGTCGTTGAGAAGAAATACACCGTTAAGTTCAGAATCAGCCTATAATAATGTTTTCACTTAGTTGTGTTGTTTGAAGAAGCTGTCAAGTGTGAACCCGATTGTGGCATTTTATATTGGCAATATTTAGTGTGTACAGTTAGTTCATAAAGGATAGAAGATAAAACTCTCGGCATTGACGAATTCCTGGGGAAACACCATTTGACTTCATTGAGTATCAGTAAAGGTGACTAAATGCATATACGGCCTTTAAAATGGCTCGCGGTGGCTTATAAGATCGAATTCTTGTGTATTACATAACACCTCTAGCCACTATGCTACACGCGCACATTCAATTAGTTCGTATTTAAAAATGAATCTATGTTTAGGAAAGTGGCGCATTTGTTTATGGTGCAATGAGTTTTGTCGACAAACTCGGCAATGGTTTTGCCTATCAGCTCATCGAATTATGGAATCCATCATGCGAGTATGGTTTTTTCTGTTACTCACGAAAATGGGAAGTGTACAGGCTTTACAAAAGCTTTAAAATTTAGTCCAACACAATCGCACAGAACGTGTGCGAATTTTTATCGGACTATCATGGTTTATGTGCCAGCTTGTTGTTTGGCTGTCGCTCTTATCATTCTGTTCTCTCTTATGCCATCACACATTGGAGAGAGAAGAAGAAACCACAGTGAGTTTGGAAGCCTTTTTTGAGATTTTTTCCATTTTATGTGCGTTAAAAAGGTCATTTTAAGGGATTTCTTTCAAAGTGTCCAGTTTACATCACTGAGTCATTTCTCGTTTGAGGTACTGATCGGGTCGCAATTTTGGACGATAACGATGTGGACGTCGATTGAGCTTCATGACCAGCAATAGATCCATATGCTGGTGGATTTTTTCAAGAGTTCTCTTTTTCTGGTCTGCGAGCATTTCACTTTTTATTGCATATCCCACGAGTATTTTGTAGAAGCATTTGCCGGTTTTGTAGTGATTGACGTATTTCTTCCACCTTAGGGCTCTGTTCTGTTCTCTTGTGTGGCTTTACTCAAATTTAGGATGGTGTGCATTGGTTTGTTTACAAGAGGTAGTCAGTTGTGTTTTCTACATTGGGTGTCTCAAGTGTGCATTAAATGTCGCTAGTCTGGTGTTCCGTTTTACTGTGCATTAAAAACCATCTAATTCTGTGCTCATTTATGCTTTTTACGTAATACAACGCATGTATATTTACGAAGTCGAGATTTTGACCTCTGGTCTGGCGGCGCCAACAAGTGGTTGTTTCCTTTTTGTGTTTGTCTGTGTTGATAAGATCTCAGTTGGAAGAGTGTTGTGCTGCACGGTTTTGTCACGATGAGCATTAAAGTGATGGTGGTTTCTCTCGTGTTCTTTTCTCCCTTCTCTTTCATTTTCCTCTTGTGGAAATGTGCTTATTCATCCAAATATGAAATCATTGTTGTGCTAACAATTGGTCGAGTTGAAGTTCCACTCCTTAATACGTCTTATCTTGTGGTTCACTGTTAAAGGACGTTCTTTGCAGTGCTATCCAGCAAGGTTCAAGCGTCCTGAAGCATCCATCACATGCCTACACTTTCAAAACTTGCGTACTTTCTCGGATTACCAGTTCTGAATGCAAATTGTTACGAGACTTTTCATACGTGGTCGCCAAATTGCAATCAGGCGATACTGGTCCGTCTTTTTTGTAGGAGAAAACTATCCAAGACTTCAACTGTTGTTAATGTTCTTCGTTTGGTTGAAATGGAAAAATTCTCCAGGATGCTCTTCCTGACGGGATGCTTTTCTCCCTCAAAACCTATGCACCGCTTTACTTGGTTGGTTTCCTGGTTTTCGAGGTTTCAAGTTGAAGCAGTTTCTTGAAAAGTATGCTTGAGTGACTGGGTTGTATTGAAGCTCTTTTCTAGATATTTTAGATAACTGCACTTATCTCAAAGCAGGGAGATTTTCGGAGGATTGAGTGGAAGCGGTATGTGACGGAGGTCATACGATCATGCATATTCTTAAATTGCAACCTCGTACTCTTTGTTTTCTTCTTTTGTCGATTAAGGTCAGTTCCTAGCATCTCTTTTTTTTATTTTTTATATGACCTCTCTTTACTTCTATTGTGCGGATGCCAGCACTTCCCCACATTCGATTCTTTTCCGTACATCCGTTATCCACGAAGGTCTTCCAACTTTTACATGTTACTTCGGCCAGTGCTTGAACGTTTTGCTTTCATCGTGAATATCGTAGAATACTGGTCGAGTCGATTCTCCCTGGAGTCCTGGGATGGCCGGCCGGGCTGGGGCGTTCCCAGTTGGATTGCAGAGAGTGATTTTTTCCCGGAAAAGTCCGGCTCCACTTTTCCGACGGCGGAAGCATGAGAGACTTTGTTTAACCCGGAGCAGTATCGAACTATCGTCGTGTTTGTGATGGCCGACATAAACACTTCAGTACTTCTGATGCTTCACATGCTCAGAAACCTCATTAGTGTCGCCAAATTGCCAACTCTCAAGACAAAATTCTCTTTCATAGTAAATGAGTTAATTTGCTGCTTAAAGTCCCTAGTAGTGCAGTCAAACACTGTTCGATCTGTAAGAAGCACTACCAGTGAGATGTTTATGCTATGATTTTCATGGTTTTGTTGAAAATGCAAGGCTTTTTCTAAACAAAGATATCACTATGATCGATTTCTATGCTTTCGTGGTTTTATGAGAAGCATGCGTCATGTAGAACATTCGGTAGGTGTTAAAAATAAAAGAATTCTACTTCTGAAGTCAATTTCCTAGAGAACCTCTCTTAGCTCTTCATGAGGCGCTGAACGTAGACTTCGTCTGTGCATCTTCTAGTCGTTGGAAATTCCAGCAGTCGCATACTAAGGAATTTGTCACTACTGGGGCGATTAAAGTTGGGCAGAGGTTGTGAACGGCCCTAAGATCTCTTGAATTACCTGCGTACATACGAGATCCTTGCGACGACAGGCAGAAAACTGAGCAGACGTAGTATGACCTTATTTCAGTCTTCAGCTGTAAAATCAATGGGAGCAGTTATTATCCCAATTATTAAATGGTTTTTTGTTTATAATACTGTAATCTATGGTTCGTTAGTGGTTATAACTACTGTTCATTTACCAGTGGTTTTCTTTCCAATTTAGTGGTTGATCTGAGAACATTTCATTCGATGCCAAACTAACTTTTCAGGCGTGCTATTGGTTTTTTCACTCCTATTACTATGGGTTTTGTTGGTGGTTTGTTCGCAAGTTTTTTATCATTGTTAATTGAAAAACGAAATCGCTGGCCATCCCTTGCACTATACTTGACCAACTTAGTGAGTATTATTCTCTTTCTCAAACAATTTGGCGTTTTATTACCAAGGTATTGCTGCAGAGTCTCATTCTTTCTGTTTTTTTCTTCTTGTCCTTCATGTTTCAGTGGTTTTGGAATTGTAAGAGAACAGTGTATAGGCATCTGAAACTTCCTTTCGTCATTTGATTAACCAAGGATATGTGCGTAAAATCAGTAAAGGAGAAGTTATACCATTTGCCATTGGAGTCGGCCTGTTCTCATACCTTTACAGCGCTGAAAAACTTGATGAGAATACGAGAAAGGTGTTCAAGTAGGTTCCATACTTGCTTCGTAATGCACATTCTCTTTGCAGGGGAATTGTTTTAGTTTTGTATATAACGCTACTGGAGCAAGAGATATCTGTTTGCGGTGGCCACTTCCAGAAGGATTCAGACTGCTTCTTAATCAACTGAGGAGTAAATTTGGACGAACAGAGCTTTGTGAACATAGGCATTCCTGTGTCAGTGTTGTAGTTGAGGTAAAGACCATAATTTTGTGTTATTACGGAAAGGTAAATAGCAAGTAGACTTGCTAATACTTAGGAAATTTCTGTCTTTAATTTTCTTTTTGTTGGTTGAAATTTTATAACTTTAGCAGATTTAAGTTACATTTGGAGCTTAATTACAGACATTCTATTCCTTTCATAAGCAACGAATTGCAGTTTCGTAGAATTTTTTTTGTCTATTCAACTTCCACTTCTGGCGAATTGATTTCATTGTTTTAAGAGTTTTATCAGTAACTATGCCACTGGTCTCGGTGCCAGTGTCATCCTCACAATACTTCGAAACATTCTGTTCTTGGCATCGAATCCGTTGAGGATTATGGAGCAGTTATTCTCCAGATCTACATTAAGGATTCCTATTTTCTTTGGTTTAATGCCGTGTGTGTTCCATGTGAGTTTCTACGCTTTCTAAAGGTTGTCTAAGTCCTCCAGTTTTTCATCGAAATATTCATTTCTAAAAGATTTTTTAAACATTTTATACTGGCTTTTGAACCTAACTTAGTGTGATGTGTAAATGTGCTAGCAGATACAGACAGCGAGCGATGTATATTGAAACCGTGATATTCCGAGTCAGTTAATGCAATAGTATTAGCGCTTCGATCTGCTGATGTTTTTTAAGTGTCTCATTTTCATTTCCGTTCAAATGCCTTTTATTTCACAAATTTCCTCTTGTAAATGTCTGAATATAGGGTGTTCGTTGCGTACTTAATCGGATATGTGCGTCTCACACGGCTCGGAACGTTACTGCAGGCACCGCGTCGGGATTAGCAATGTTAGCATTTCCCAATGTTTCCATTTCTATGTACGTCATTTGGAAAGCCATTGAGGTATGGTTCCTTGATAGCTACACTGTTTGAAGCCAAATCGTTTGTCATATCAACTTATTTCCTCCTTTTCTCTGCTATTTTCAACAGCAAATTCGACTTACTTGATTTTTAGCTAGTTAGATTTCAAAACATTATTTTAGACGATATACTACGATTTGTTTGAGCAGGGCCGAATTCAGCCTATACCTTATGGTGATTTATTACTTTACACCATATCAACTGCATTTGTTCTCTGGAAAATAGTTATCGAACCTCAAGCGATACGCGAAAGCTACTTTAAATTTATACTGTCACTCACAGGAAATAGGTGAGCCTTTCGTTTCGAGTTTTCCACTATGTATCTTTTGAGGTTATAAGTGGGATGTAGTCCTCATTTTAAATCGTGGTGGTTGCGGTTTTCTGGTCTGGTCGTTGTCTCTAACCATTTTTATTTTCTTGTTTAGTTTTACTCTGTGCTGTCGAAATAAGAGATAATCGTGTCGTTTTCAGAATGGCATTGTTAAATCGTGATCTCTACAAGCACTTTGGTAGCCAGTCACAACTACTATTTCGCTGTCGGCCAACTCTAAACAACAAATATGTCACAATTAATCCGATGCTGTACCAGCCGATATCAGGTTTAGAAAGATGACGAAGATAAGTTAATACATCATGCAGATAATTGATAGAGGTATTCATTGCAGACTGATTAGTCTGGTTTTACGAATGAAAATGTTTGTAAGATCAGTTGAATGGAATTTGCATTTTTCATCTATTCGGAGAGAGTGAGACTTGAAACATTGACATATAAACGTCTAGTGGCAGTCGCGGCCTGGTTCTACACATCCGTTTGGTCCTCGCTTGAATCCCTCTTTGCATTGACAAACATTGATAATGCAATTCGCGGGGCAAACAATTGGCATCTCTTCGTTACATTTGGGTTCACAGGAAATACCACACTCTCTCCACTCCTCATTTGGACCGCAAGTTTTTCCTAAACTCGAGTATTAAGAAGTGAGAAAGAAATTGTTGTCTTCTGTATGTACCACCTTATGGGGATCAGCCAGAAATGCTCTGTGGACGATTTTAATTTGAGTAATAGTTTAAAATAAATAACTTTTAAAAAAGACGATTAGTAGGGTGATTTGGTGGCATTGATGAGTCTTCTGGTGTACAGATTAGTCATACAATGACTAAGAGAATTTGTTCATATGAAAGGAAAGTTTTCTCACCACTGAACACTGTTGCGCACAGAACAGCGAGAAGGATGATACGCTTCATCTGAAACCCATGTCTTTTCATCAAATTGTAAGACATTAACTAAGCCTGCCATACGGTCAAAAAAGAAAAAAATAACGAGGGGATATGAGTGATGAGAGGTGAGAAATAATTTAATGTTGCATAACACGAATACATATTGTCGTACTGACTTTTGGCCTAGTGCCGATAATTTCTCGCTTGCAGGAGCATCTAGCTTGTGGACTAGGTAGATTTCTAGAAGAAGTTTGTATGATTTTTTGCCCGTACCTCTCATTTTAATTTTTTAAGCATTGTATGACAGCATTTCAGAATTTTGCGCGATGGTTCCCACTGAAATGCATTTTCACCTGCTCGACAGAATCAGATTTGTTTAGTCGCTTTTCTGTTGGAGAAGGTAGCATTAACGAGGGAAAAAATACGAAAAAACACATTAATGAGGTCGAGAAGGTTGGGAATGCATTATAAGCAATAAGTAGACTAGCTTCTACTTGACATGATTTGAGCTCTGCTTGTTTGGAGGTTGACGGACATATTCATTGCCGACCATATGCATGTTGCATTCAAAGCAGCCTATGTATTCAAAGTAATTCATGATTAGAGTAGTGTAATTTGCAATATGATGTGCTTCAACTCTGGTACTTTAGTGCTTAGGGTGATTTGTACACTTGAAAACTACTGAAAATGTTAAAACTACTAGAACTGGAAAATCCTCCCAACGGTTTGCCGCCTCATCATGGCTGGGAGGTGTTTCTGGGTGTCGAACTGTGATGTACAGCGGGTTGATTCGTCCCCCGGCAGACTCTCCCAAGCTGAGGAGTCCGGCGTTTCCATCAGGAAGCCTAGCTAAGAGAAAACCAATACCAGTGTCCGCCACCGTCCTGGTATCAAAGTCACATGGTGGCAAATCTTTCTCTGATTCACAAGGGCTGCAACTGCCCGTGGTGTAACCAGCAAATCTCCGATAAACGATGATTATGCTGAGGCTCACTCAATCGCACAACCAGTTGGGACGTGCCGTTCAAGTGTCAAGTGTCCAGAACTGGAAAATTACTAGAAAAAAAAAATGAACAAATATGAAACACAAAGATTTATGATCGTAAAGCAATAGCACTAGGAATTATTGTTCCGTCTTTTTTTCGTTTTTAACATTAATTTAGCACAGCATTTTATCCTCTTTTGTTCTATAGTAGATATAAATTGGTCAGCATAATATAAAGTGAAGATGCAGATACGGTGAGAATAGTGCTAAAAAGATCGTGAAAAATCATGGACGTAAGAATTATAAGAAACTTGAGTGGTTGTCACCTGCATTGTTTTCCTTTATTAAGAGACCAAAGAATCTTGTTGCCATTTTAAAATACGAAGTTGCAGTAGCAAATGTTCTAATTGGGTGTGTATCTTTTTCTAAGTGGAACCAGTTTGCGAGACAATCTCTGTCAACACTTTCCACAGTCTGCACGATTTGCAGATAACTAGGAGGTGATAGGGTGTTAAGAGGTGCGTGTAAACGTAGTGGTTAGTATCGCCTTGCAATACAAACATTATTCTTGTTTCATTAAGGCTGGGCTAACAAATGTGCCACCCTTTTCGTAGTCGATAAATCTGCTGCATTTTCTGGAAGGGTAAAAACACTGATTTGATAATGTTTTAGCTACGCTGCCTACTCTTCCTTCATAGCAGGTGTGTTGTGAAGTACAGCCATAGGTATACTGAGATCTGCGGAAAACTGGGAAGCTTAGGTGCGCTTCGAACCCACAATTACCCTTCCAGGAGTCACTTGTGATCGCCACACCAACCGACGCCTTTACTTTGCCTTCTTCTCAGCAGCATTTTCAGCACTCGAATGCCCGTTATGCATAATCGCGGATTGGAGGCCGAATTTAAGCTCCGAGTTTTGCCCGTTTCTGATCGTTCTAATGGTTCTACTGATTTGACACATCCTTAGGTCTCGTTAAACTATTGTCTGAACCACGTGTGCATTCAATCTTCGCATTGACTCACGAATAGAGTTAAATACCACAGTGTATCTCTAAGCAATTGGTGAACGCGTGATGCTTTGATTATACATTTTCTTCATGAAGTGAACACTCCGTGATTACGAAAATAAAGTCGAATTTGCGTCGACCATTCGAACATCTGAAGAGACCAGTTGAAACACACGAAACTAACAGTGGCAGACAAGAGGTTGTTCGGAAGTCAAGTAATATGCAATACAAAATCTATGCAATTTCTAGTGATGTGTATTGTTTTGCATCCAGACAACGGTTGCAATTTGCATCGTCTGGACGTGCGCTGACT